AGAGGAACCTTTCTGGTTTCATCCAACAAGCAGGTAAACAGACAAAAGCGGCTTACAGTTGCCCCCGTTTTGGTCATGTGACCTACCTGTAGGCACGCACAGCTCCAGCGGCCTATCGAGCAAACCTGTCTGCCAGATTTTTGATTTCTGCCAGATCTTTTTGCTTTTTATTTTATTTTTTGTCTATGATTTCTTCTCCTAGAGCTGGAGTTATAAACAGCTGTTAGCCACTTAATTCTGGTGCTGCAAAAGAAATTCTGGTCTCTAAGAACAGTAAATGCTCTTAACCTCCGAGTTGTCTCTCCAGCCGTTAATTTACTCCCAAATTTACTATTTGCCTGAGCCCTGATTGTGCCTGCCAGTAGGGCAGTGAAGTCATGTGCGGTCACAAGGGTGGGTCCCTCTGCAGCAGGGTCAGTTCTCCAGCTCACAACTTTGTACTTGTGTGTTCACAGAAAGCGACCTCAGGAGGAGCATTCTTTTGAGGAGAGTGAGCAAAGAGCTCTTCTGCTGAAGAGGTGGGCACTATACAAGAAGCAGGAGCATGAGGCAGAGAGGGACGCCATCAGAGCCATGCTGGAAGCCCAGCAAGAAGCTCTTCAAGAACTGAAGCTTGAGTCTCCAGAGCTCTACGAAGAGGCCATAAAGCGGGACCCCAGCCTGTTCCCCTTTGAGAAAGAAGGGCCACATCACACACCACCAATCTCTAACTACCAGGCCCCTGAAGGAAGGTACAATGACATCACCAAGGTGTATGCACAAGTAGAATCCAAAAGATAGAACTGAAAACTGCTGTCGTCGGAAGATCTGGCCCTAGGAGTCAGAGTGACAGAGCTGAAGTCTACTTTCCACAGACGAGACATCTGGCTAACAAATAAAGTATAATCCAAAGTCCCTCTGTCCTTTATTTCAACCTAAATAAATTCACCTAAGTTTGGGTGGGATTTTCAGACATTGGTGAAACAATGACCAAAAGACAACATTGAACCTCCAGTGGGGAAAATATAGATTAAAAATAAAACTTTAGTTGCAACTAAACTATTTGCAGAAGGCACAAAATTAGCCAGAGGACTGGGGATGAAAATTCTGCAGGGTTTTGCAGGTTGGGCAAGTGTGCCAGAAGTTGGACCTTGCTATGGGATATGCCTGCATGCTGCCACACTCCCCACCATGATGATAATGGGCTGAACCTCTGAAACTATAAGTTGCCACCTCAATTCAGTGTTTTCTTTATAAGAATTGCCATGGCCAGGCGTTGGTGGCAAACACCTTTAATCCCAGCACTCCAGAGGCAGAGGCAGGGAGATCTCTGTGAGTTCAGGTCAGCCAGTTTTCTCTCCTCTCTCATCTGCTCCTGCTTTTCTCATGGTCGGGTCCAGTTTGCTGACCATTTTCAATCCATTATTTTCTCTCTACTCTGTTCTCTCTCTCTCATATCTACAATAAAAACCTTCCCCTTAACCATACCATGGAGCACTCAGGTCATCAACTTATACAATCACCTTTGAAGTACTTTTCAATTTATTTTTGTTCTTTGTTTTCTAAATTTACTACCCTCTAGATTACAGGGACTTAATCTGTACATTCGATGAATCATGAAAAGGATCTCCTAATTTAGATAGTACTCTCTTTTTAATAGAAAGAAAATCACCATGAGTGCTTCCAGAGTCTAGCCGTAGTATACTTAGGTGTGTCTAATCAAGGTTTATTTTAAAGTGTTTAGTTACTACTCAAGTTTTACCTAAACATTGTACATTAGATTTAAAAAAAAGAAAAACTGGGCTGGAGAAGATGGCTGCTCTTCCAGAGGTCCTGAGTTCAATTCCCAGCAACCAAATGGTGGTTTACAACTATCTGTAATGAGATCTGGTGCCCTCTTCTGGTGTGCAGGAATACATACAGGCAAAAGGCTGTATCAGAATAAATAATTTTTTAAGATTTTATTTATTTATTATGTATATAACATTCTGCTTCCATGTATATCTGCACACCAGAAGATAACCAGGATTTCTTTAACAGTCCTCAGACATTCCTCAATCATAAGGCATTATTTGAACAACTATTTCTCACTAATGATTCTCTTCCTGGTAACAATATCCTGTTCTAGAAGAGCATGTCTCACAGTTTTATAAAAATGACATCATGTGTCCCAACCACGCATGTTTCCTGATTAAAGGAGGCTGTCAGATACTTTGTCATCAAACTCACAGCTCTGGGAAGTTATTGAGAATCTCCAAGGAGTATCTTTTGAAACTTTGCTAGACAATCCTATAAAAATGACTCACTGGGATTCCATTTCTCTTTTAAATTGTCAGTTAGATGCTGATCTTAACTGACTTCTTTTATAAAGCTTCCAGGAGCTTGTTCCTATGCACGAGGCTGATATAACAAACAGCTAATTACAGTTAAATTACCCTTCTACAGTACAATTGGTCCAGCCAATTGTACAAAATCATTTAACCTTATGTTAATTTTATAAATTAACTTATATTAGTGCATGTAAATTGCAATATAAAATTTTCCTCATGCAGGGTGGTGGTAGCACACGCCTTTAGACCCAGCACTTGGGATCTCGGTGAGTTTGAGGACAGCCTGGTCTACAGAGGGAGTTCCCAGACAGCCAGGACTGTTACACAGAAACCCTATCTTGAAAAACCATATTTTCTTTTCTTCATGAATTTTGTCTCTTAATGTTCCCCCTCAAGGTTGTACAGTTATTATTTTCTGACTTATTCTCTGGATTTCTGCTGTTAGGTTTCACAGTATCCCCTTAGATGGACCCTCCTTTGAGGCACTCTAACTGTTGCCCTTCTACAGTGTCAGCTTAAAGCAGTTAAAGAGAGACTGATGCCCCCAAATCCCTGAAAGCAGTTTGGATGACCTGCGAAAGGGGGACTAATGAGCTATGGGCCATCGAACTCACCCCTTCTCTTGCCACTCTAGGCATTGTTTTCAGGACTAAGAACAGCTGGACTGGAGCCTTCTTTGCATCAATTAACTTCTCTGTCTCACTGGTGCTCAAAGGATCAGCTTAACATCCTTCAGGACCAACTCAACTGACGACTGCAGTGCTCCCAGCCTAGTTCTAACTCCTACTAATAACAGGACCTGTGCTTCCTCCAGGAACAATGCTGCTTCACACCAATAAACTAATTGGTTTGAGATGGGACCCAAAAACACAGGGACAAGAAAACACTCAGCCACAAGCCTTCTCCTATGTATGGGCTTCTGGTTCCCTCCTGCTCTGGCTTTGCCCCTTCAACACTTCTTTCTCCTTATTAACCCCATGCTTATGTTTACTTACTGAACTTGCCCCTTTACCCAAACAAAATGTTCCACGTAAGTTCTCCCAATAGCTCCCACCCTACAACCCTATTTGTTCCTGATGTATCTGCTGGGGAGAAACTCTGACAGCAAGGGACCTTCATTCCTTTCACCCAGGCTAGATATGATTTGTTACACTAGTCCTGTATTTTTTCCTGCTCCCTTCCTTTGATGCTCTGTGGCTCCCTGCTGCTTCTGCTGGCTCACTTTGGTGCAGAAGTCCTAACAGTGGGACTAGTCACCATCACCCTAGATCAACTCTTTACTCACTTTCTCTCACAAGCTCGCTTACTCTCTTTCCTGCCTCTTCTCCCCTTCCCTCCACCTTCCTCAGTCATCTCTCTGTTTCACGCTGTAATCAAATCATCTGTGTGCTGGATAGTTTATGTCAGCTCGGCAACAACTAAAGTCTTTTGAGAGGAGGGAACCTCAATAAAGAAAATCCCTCTAAGATTGGGATGTAGGTGAACCTGTGGGGCATTTTCTTAATTAGCAATTGATGGGGGAGGGCCCAGTCCATTGTGGATGGTGTCATCCCTGGGCTAGTGGTCTTGGGTTCTGTAAGAAAGCACACTGAGCATGCCATGGGAGCAAGCCAGTAAGTAATAACTCCTCCATGGCCCCTGCATCAGCTCCTACCTCTACGTTCCATCCCTGTTTGAATTCCTGTCCTGACTTCCTTCAATGATGAACAGCAATACAGAAGTATAAGCCAGATAAACCCTTTCCTCCCCAGCTTGCTTTTGGCCTAGGATTTTATCACAGCAATGGTAAGCCTAAGACAGTCTGCTTCTGTTAAACCCCCCGGAAAACTCAGGCCTCCGGGGTCTCAGCCCAGGACCTCGGTCACCCCAATCATGAGGCAGATTTGAAAGCTTGCTGCCAACTGCATGCGGCTTTATTGTTGTTTATCGAGCTAACCCCATGTGAGTTGGGTTCTTTCACCCACCCGCCATGGCGGATGGCTAGCAAAGACACTCGAAGGGGCTGCATAGAGATCTTGTAGGACAGTGAATGGGAAGTGTCTAGGGGTACACACAGGCTCAGGATTGGTGTGCCTCCAGGCTTGGAGGGCTTGCCCTGTGTTGATTGGCCAACTGGTTGTGATGGTCCATAGGCCCTCCCAGGGTGGTTGCTATGCTCTACATGTCATTGCTGTGCATTTGTCCATAAAGCACACCCAGAGCCGTAAAGCATAGCATAACTTCTGATTGGTTCCTTGCCAGGAAGCAGGCATCTAACCTTATATGACTAAGGCAAGGTCAGAAAGGCACGTGTTACTGTCATGGCTGCCGAAAGGGGCAGGCATCTGACCTTAGTGACTAAGACAAGGTCATGGCAAGCACGTGTTACTGTCATGGCTGCTGAAATGGGGAGCTGGTCCCTTCACTTCCAGCCCTCTATTTTCCACAAATCTCTCCGAGAACGCAGGTGTCAATAGCATGATCCATTCAAGGCAGAACTCTCCTCCAGCTAAGTGGACAGAGGACAACCCCACTCTTCAGCAGAAAGACTTGGAAGTACACACTTCCATCAGTGACCCTCTTCAGCAGGAAATGGTTAAGAAAGGAGCCCATTTTCTATACCCCTTTAGGGTTTGGAATGGTAGAGTGCCTCCCCTGTAAAACAGGCTTCCTACAAGGCTACAGAGAATCCTTCTCAAATTTGCTTAGTGGTCTTAGAAAGGAATGTCTGTGGGGACAGCCTTCTTTGCTTGGGCAAACAACTTCAGGAGGAAGAGACTGCAGGTGAGCAAATGTGGGCTGCATGGCTACATGCTGCAACCACTTCTGCATTCCTAAGACCCTCATGTCACCCCTCCCCCCATAAAAGGTCATGGCCATCTTTTTTCTCTGGTACACTCAGGTTCCCATAGGTTGTGTCAATAACCACAGTCCTAACCGCTAATGGTCAGGCTGCTGGTTCTTTCCTGCATCCTGTCCCCTTAAGCTGCCTCAGAGATGTAATATTCACCTTTTGTTGTTCAAAGCTACTTATGCAAGCAAGTACCAGCTAGCTGGCCCAGAAGCTGTCTCCCATCTCACTTTAGGAACACTGGGATTACAACAGATGTGTGCTAATGTGTCAAGTTTCTTGTGGGTTCCAGAGAGCTAAACTCAAGTTGTCACACTTGCACAGCCAGCACTTTATCCCCTGAGGCATGTCACCAGCATCACCCACTGTCCCTTACTCACCTGAATGGTCTTTTGTCAAAGACTGACAGGATGAGGAGTAACTCGGTGGGTGCTCACCCAGAATACTTAAATGGTCCTGGGCTCCAACCCTAGCACCACCACTACCCCTGTGGCCATGTATGCAAAGGTTTCTTTCTGGGCTATTATTGTGTGGTTTGCTGGTAAAATATAGCATAAGGGTTCTGAGTCTTTGCTCTATCTGGAAGTACAAACTACATGCAACCATTTCCCTGACCCCCTCTGCCATATCTATGTCCCACTCATTGCCACCTACTCCAGCAGCTAATTTTGTCCACAAAGCATGTCCACTCCTGCTTCTCCTCTGTGGAGCAGGCAGATATTTCTGTAAAATGAAAGGTCAGGGCTTCGTTTTCC